GGGATATTTGGGAAGAGAAGAAAAATGACTGCATATGTTACCATGCATTCTATTCTGAAAAGAAATGCCAGCAGCTACTACTCAATGTTTACAGCATGGGACTACTAAATATTCAAGCCTTGTTTCACCATATTCTCTATCTTAAGCAACTCCACTATATATACTGCAGAAAACAGATCTGTAGCTTGTTTGGAAGCCAAGAGAGAGGCCTTTTCTCCCAGGCAATTTTTATAGTTAAAAACCATAACTTAAATGAATGCTTTTTGTTTCCTTTTTAAAATGCATTTTGTAAATATGTGATGTAAATTAATGTGCTCAAATAGCTTTTTAAATATGGTAAATTATGCTTCAGTATGTATTTAGTTATATTACTGTTTTCATTCTGTGTTCAGTAGCATGAAAGAACAAATGTAAATATTTGTGTTTAAACAAAGTTTATACCTTGTATGAAATGATGGAACTATCAATAATGGATGGCCAGCTATGACTGTAAACTGTTATACGAGTTTTGAGCTTTAGGCCTGCTGCATATCTGTATAGAAGAATTAATTTAACATGTAAGCTTGCTAGGAAGAAAGCTTTTAATTTTACTTATTACTAGTAAAATCCTATGATTCCCTGCTTGCCATCTAAATCATAGTTTATGCATATTGCATGTACATTTTAGAAAAATCTTAAGGTTGTTGGATATCATGATATACAGGAACTCTTACTTTATTTGTCTCCACATGTGCCACTAGTGTCAATGTCAGGGATTTTATGCCTAAAACAGTGTGTTCAAGTCTGTGTATTGTAGTTTGGTATGATCTTCTTTTTTATTCCTAGTAAACAGCACTTTTATTCCTCAAGAATCAGAATAGCCAAAAATGTGTCTTCATTGGAAGACAAATGTAAAAGTTAATTTTTTAAAGAATTGATAACAAAATATATTCCTAACCCTTATAGGGTGGGATTTTTAAAAGCACAGTGTTGGCCTAACTGCTCTATTGATTATGGTAGGATCAATGGGACCAGAATTAAGCCAGTGCTGAGTGCTTTTGAAAATCTCCCCCATAATATATTAATCAGCATAGATATTAAGGGTCTAATCCTGTGACGTGCTGAGCACTTCCTGTAAAGTGCTAAGCACCCTCAACTCTATGACTTGCAGTGAAATTGAGGGTACTCAGGACTGACCAGGATAGATCCCAGATAATTGTCTATTTTTGTGGTATTAAATGCATGAATATCTAGCCTCTCTGTTTTTATTCATCATAAATCTTAATTTCCTTTTGCTTTGCCTATATTGTTATGCTATCTAATAGCATCCCATTCAGAAACACTATCTTTGCCTAATATTTTTATACATCCATAGGTAATATGATGTAAGGAAGTAGTCTGAACCACTTATTTTCTCTGTTAATGTAACACAAATCAGTTAAATGTTGACCAAGATGATCTAAGAGATTATTTTGTTGACTGTCACAATCATTCAGTGATTTAGTAACCGAAGACTTTCTTCTGCTCCCCTGAAGAATAAAAAACAGTCTCTTGATAAATTATTTATTATATAGTGTTCCTGCAAGAGTGCTGACAAGAAACACCAATCTAAACTCACTGCCCACTTGTGTGCCTCCTGGATTTACCACAGCAGATGGTGGGATGCAGGTGTTTCAGTTTGTTTGCTGTTCGCACCTTTTCTTTTATGCCCATTCCAGGAACAAGTTGTGCCCCTGGCCATTCTTTAATGAAAGTTATGAGTACACTTGTAGATATTCCAATAATTTGCAGAAAGGTGGTAATTACTGATTTGGTTGACATAGTTGAAAGCAGGCTGTACGAGATATTTCATATTGTATTGGAATGATCTTTAAATCTAGTCAATATAGTATGCTATAGAAATTATTTAATGTACAGGAAAAATAACAAAAGAGTAACATCAACTGAACAAACCCTTAAAACAAGCATGCTTGAGTTTTTGTATTACTACTTGATATATTTCTGTAATTCCGCATACTGAATATTTTGAGAGGCAGATGGGTAGATATGAACTCAATAACTAGTATACTAAATAAGCAGCTATATTCTCAAAGTAAATTTGGTGTTATATCCATATGTCACATTAGCTGAACACATTTATTCAGGATTGCTAAAAGGAATAACTTTTAAATGTCTGACTTTATTTTGAAGTGTTTTCTGGTATTCAGTGCCATCAGTTTTAGCACCTTTGCTTATGATGCATCTTTTGGTAGTTTAGGTTTGTGCCTTGTTTCCCCAGTATGCTTTTATTGATGTGTCCATTTCTCAGTTATGCACGTGGAAGACATTCAGTGAAATTAACATTTGATTTGGGTTTTTTAATATCTCCTGGTGCATTTAAAAAAATACACATGAATATGCTTCAGCCAAAGTCCTGGAACTTTGCAAAGTGTTGATTAATCATGTACTGTCTGAGAGAGAAAATGTTGTGATTTAATACATAGTCACAGTTGTATATAATTTAACATGCCCCGAACTTCTTATGTCCCAAATTGATACAGCTTACATTAAGAAAGATGTTTACCAACCACTTTTGCCAGGTAGGTACCTTTTAGTTTTAAAGGCTACCATTTTCTTATTGATATTACACCAAAATAACGTGTGTACACTCTGTCTGAACCCAGTACTGTTCTGTAGCAGACTTTAACATAACCAGTGCCTTCAAACAAAAGAAGTGAAGTGCAGAGCTGAGAGCTATGCACATTCCTTTTGGTAACATATGCTTAATTGTAGTAAAACAAAAGAATATCATGCTGGCTTTTTGGTTCTGACAGACAGCAAATTTGACTGTTCCTCAACAGAGGACACGACATAGAAAAAATATTTTGAAGATTCTGAAGGGGTTTTACAAATTAAGAAGTAGAAATGCTATAAAAATACTAACAGTGTCTCAAGTCCAGTCAGTACACTAACGGATATTTTTCATCTAAATTTCCTTCCCATCTGCCATATTTTAAATTGAGAAAAATATAAAATTTAATATTCTCCTTGAAACCAAGAATATATTGACAAACGAATGCAAAATGTTTATTCTTAGATCTTTCAGGTCTATTTTTGTACTCTTCTGTTTAAAATAATACATTAGTCTTATAGTGGATTACAAACAAGCCAATTATAAAAATTTAAAAGGACACATTGCATATCAGCAAGAGGAAGTGTACTTAAGATTTTATTTTTAGAGATATCTGAGGCAAGCTTATTGAAAACTGCACTGAAACAATTGCTGGCAATTTCCTATGTACTATCATATTTTTATTTTTGTTTTGTTCATGAAAATGTTTGTACTTTTTTATCATTGTCTTTTTTGAAATATAATGTTCTAAAGACTGTGTGGTTGTCTAATTTTTTTCCTTCTAGGCACTGTATTCTGTGGAAGTTTGCTCCTTCAGTGTATTTTATTTAGAAAAAATAAGCATTAGTTGAAGTGTCTGGTACAGTATTACTCCCACATTGACCTCACAGCTTGACGGGATAGGAAATTTCTTATTTGATAAGAACTGATCCTGTAGAAACCTTTTACAGATAAAATTGAAACATGTTTTCATAGCATGTTAAATTTTTAAAAAATAATGTAACTTTTTAAAATTGACAGCATAGGATGAGAATTATTTGTGGCAGGACCTACTCTTTAAATTTTGCCCAGCATATGCAGCCCTGAGCCTGACTTCTCATGTGTCTAGGTGCTATTGTATTACAATACATTGTTAAAACTGTTACAAAAATCTAAAAATGTTGTACCTCAGCTAATTAACAGATTTGATCTCCCACTGAAATGTTTGGAGTGAAATACAACAATTTAGTAATACTTTAGCTCTTATAACACTTTTCATGTGTTTAGATCTGAAAGTACTTGGAAAAAAATGAATTGTGGTTCTCTAAAGATACTATATTGATTGGATTCTAACTAACAAGTTTCTTCTTCTTAGCATAAAACAGCACATCTGTCCTAGAAATATTCTAAACAGCTGTAAGTAGCAGGAAAATATCCCAGTATCAAGAGAGTTCATCCAAGCTTGGAATTATTAAACCTGGGAGCAGACAGAGGTCCTCATGTGTCAGTGGTTTCCCCCTGCTCATCTGTCTTTCATTTCTTTTAATTATTAATATTACAGTAGTAGCTAGAGCCCCCATCACAACTGTGGCCAAGTTTATATGTACTGTACAAACATAGGTAATGATCTCTGCATTAGCACTTGGGTTCTAAATGACAAATGACATGCAAAAGGAGGAGAAGGACGATATCTGATGAAGTGGGTTTGAGCCCACAAAAGCTTATGCTCAAATAAATTTTAGTCTCTAAGGTGCCACAAGTACTCCTCGTTGTTTATACCTGTATACTGCTTTTCTTATTTACAATATGCATTTGCTGTTTAATTATATAAATATTAGCTATCCCTGAATGCCATACAACCTTGTCATCATTTGTAGGCTGATTTTGTCTTTTGTAGGCATAGCTGCAGAACTGGGACATCAGGGAAATCAGTGGGACACTGTGCAGGGGCTCCATGTTATTGCCTCTTTTGGTAGGGTCTGGACCAAAGTAAACAATGTACTAATGAAGATAATTCAATAAATGTGTCTTGTTCCATAATTTTGTGTTTGAGAATTTCTTGCATTACAGATCTATTTTGCTCACAGTTCTTTGTGATAAGGACTATGGGTTATCGGCCATATGGAAGATTTCAGTTTACTTTCAGCAAATGGAGTTTCAGTATAATTTTTTACAACCCTGAGACAGTGTTTCTTCTGAACCGGAAATTTTTTTTTTGAAAGAGTAATTGAAAACCTTTTTAAGAAACATTTATTGACTTTACCAGAGGTAATACATTCACAAAATAAAAATCCATTGCATAGCAGTTTGCTTTTGAGTTAGCGTTTGAAGATGAAAAATGTTATGTGAGTAATAAGTATTGATTATTGCAGCCAAAAAGCAGAATCAATCTACAAATCTTAAATTGACCAATGTAGGACAATTTGCATGGCTAATGTGTAGTTCCGAATTCCTTTGGTTCACTAACTACAGCTGTAGTTGAGTAAGAAAAGGGACTGAGGAGAGCAGCAATAGTATAATGACGATAACCAGAATCATTAGCAGTGAATACCACCTGGAGAAGAGAGAGAGAAAAAAACACTTGAGAGCTTGAAACATAGTTTTACATTTTTAAAGCCAGAAGGGACCATTGTGATAATCTTATCTGACCACTTGCATATCACAAGCCGTAGAATTTACCCACATTAATTCCAGCTTGAACTAGGGCAAATTTGTTAGAAAAAAGTCCAATCTTAATTTAAATCTCTCCAGTGATGGAGAATCCACCACAACCCTTCGTAACTAACCCTTGGAACAACTTACCCTCACTGTTTAAAAACTTGCTCCTTATTTCTTGTCTAAATTTGTGTAGCTTCAACTTCCAGTCATTGGATCTTGTTATAACTTTATCTGCTGAATTTGAAGAGCCCTCTATTTCCCCTCCCCCCACCCCCTAGGTATTTGTGGACTGTGATCGACTCACCCCTTAATCTTGTCTTTGATAGGCTAAATAGATTGAGATTCATACGTATATCACTATAAGATACATTTTACAATCCTTTAATCATGGCTCTTCCGTGAATCCTTTTTAACTTACCAATATCCTTCTTGAAGTGTGGCACAATATTTCTGTAGCATTGCACCAGTGCCAAGTATAGAGGTAATATACCCTCTCTGCTCCTCAAGATTCCCTTGTTTATGCATCTAAGGATCTCATTAGCCCTTTTGGCCTCAGTATTGCACTGGGAGCTTATGTTCAGCTAATTCTCCATCATGCCCCTCCAGCCCTTTTTAGATCAGTTTCCCAAGGCAGAGTGCCCCATCCTGTAATTATGGCTTGTATTCTTTGTTTGTTAAATCTGGCTGAATTAAAACATAGTGTGTTTGCATCCAACTTACCAAGTGATCCAGATGGCTCTGTCTGTGACCAGTCCTCTTCATTACTTCCCAGTTCCCAAATAACAAGCTGTGCCTCAAAACTATTGTGTAGATTTAACCTCAAGTTTAAATTTTGGAAGCATACATATTGTTGTCTAATGTTTTGATGACAATTTTCTGTCACTGTTTTTACATTTTGTGAATTACATAAAGCTAGTAAAATATGTGCAAGACCTTATAAATCAGTGTTACAGTACAGAGACAACGTTTGATGTGCTTTTTGATCATGAGGTATTGTTGACCATTTGTGAACCCTAAGAGGGACTGATGTTTGTGCTCTTTGCTCTCAGCAGACTCTAAGGTTTTGTAACACAGCATGCTGGCCCTTCTGTTATTGGGGCTAACCGTGTAATTGAAAAAAGGTGATTATAGAACTATATCATATGAAATCTGGGCTCAGTGAGACATGGTGGGGAAGGGTGTAGGGATGCATGTCTTTAGGAGGGAGAGGAATCCTGGAGAAGGATTAGTCAGAGAAACTATGCTAGTGAGTAAAGATTTGTGGAAAGAAAGAAACCCTGGAGAGGGGTAAACTGGCAAAAGAGGAGGCCTGGAGCAATGCAGTGGAGGTGTGGGAGTGTGGCCGGAGTTGACACTTGTATTTATTTAGGGACGCTTCAGAAGGAGGTTCAACAGAAAATGGAAGCAACCTCTTTCCCCTCACACAGCCTCATGTCCTTGGTAAGGGTAAGGGTTAGGGCACAGGAATTGTCCACACCACTACTGTAAGTGTGTATCCTTGTGTTGTTAAGAAAAAAGGGTTATTGAGACAATGGAGGACAGTTGAAGATTACCAAGCCTGGAGAGAGCTGGGAGACTGCTTTGTTACTTGAAAATGAGAGAATTTTTACTGAGATTTGGCAGGATGGTTAAACCTCGGATTACTCCATCCACCAGGGAGACTGCAGACCACTAGCTGAAGAGGGGAAAATGGAGCACCAACAGCGGAAAGATAAGCCCATTACAGGGTAATAGATGACCATTACATGTCTGTGTTGATGGTTCTTTTGTGTTGTGTTCAATTCAATGTATAACACTGTTAGGGGAAAAAGAAAAGGAGGACTTGTGGCACCTTAGAGACTAACAAATTTATTTGAGCATAAGCTTTCGTGAGCTACAGCTCACTTCATCGGATGCATAGAATGGAACGAACACACACACACACACACACACACTGGAAGTTGCCATAGAAACTGTAAGAGGCTAATTAATTAAGATGAGCTATTATCAGCAGGAGGAAAAAAACTTTTGTAGTGATAAGATGGCCCATTTAGACAGTTGACAAGAAGGTGTGAGGATACTTAACGTAGGAAAATAGATTCAATATGTGTAATGACCCAGCCACTCCCAGTCTCTATTCAAACCCAGGTTAATGGTATCTAGTTTGCATATTAATTCAAGCTCAGCAGTTTCTTGTTGGAGTCTGTTTTTGAAGCTTTTCTGTTGCAAAATTGCCACCTTTAAATCTTTTACTGAGTGGCCAGAGAGGTTGAAGTGTTCTACCGGTTTTTGAACGTTATGATTCCTGATGTCAGATTTGTGTCCATTTATTCTTTTGCATAGAGACTGTCCGGTTTGGCCAATGTACATGGCAGAGGGGCATTGCTGGCACATGATGGCATATATCACACTGGTAGATGTGCAGGTGAACTAGCCCCTGATGGCGTGGCTAATGTGATTAGGTCCTATGATGGTGTCACTTGAATAAATATGTGGACAGAGTTGGCATCGGGCTTTGCAAGGATAGGTTCCTGGGTTAGTGTTTTTGTTGTGTGGTGTTGTGGTTGCTGGTGAGTATTTTCTTCAGGTTGGGGGGCTGTCTAAGCGAGGACTGGTCTGTCTCCTAAGATCTGTGAGAGTGAGGGATCATTTTTCAGGATAGGTTGTAAATCTTTGTTGATGCACTGGAGAGGTTTTAGTTGGGGGCTGAAAGTGACAGCTAGTGGCGTTCTGTTATTTTCTTTGTTGGGCCTGTCCTGTAGTAGGTGACTTCTGGGTACTCTTCTGGCTCTGTCAATCTGTTTTTTCACTTCAGCAGGTGGGTATTGTATTTTTAAGAATGCTTGATAGAGATCTTGTAGGTGTTTGTCTCTGTCTGAGGGGTTGGAGCAAATGCGGTTGTATCTTAGAGCTTGTCTGTAGACAATGGATTGTGTGGTGTATCCTGGATGGAAGCTGGAGGCATGTAGGTAAGTATTGTGGTCAGTAGTGTCTAAATGGGCCATCTTGATTATCACTACAAAAGTTTTTTTCTTCTGCTGCTGATAGCTCATCTTAATGAATTATTTCAGAGGAACAGCCGTGTTAGTCTGTATTCGCAAAAAGAAAAGGAGTACTTGTGGCACCTTAGAGACTAACCAATTTATTTGAGCATGAGCTTTCGTGAGCCACAGCTCACTTCATCAGATGTGTACCGTGGAAACTGCAGCAGACTTTATATACACACAGAGAATATGAAACAATACCTCCTCCCACCCCACTGTCCTGCTGGTAATAGCTTATCTAAAGTGATCAACAGGTGGGCCATTTCCAGCACAAATCCAGGTTTTCTCACCCTCCACCCCCCCACACAAATTCACTCTCCTGCTGGTGCTAGCCCATCCAAAGTGACAACTCTTTACATAATCAAGTCGGGCTATTTCCTGCATAGATCCAGGTTTTCTCACTTCCCCCCACCCCCATACACACACAAACTCACTCTCCTGCTGGTAATAGCTCATCTAAACTGACCACTCTGTCTTTATAAACTTGGAGAGTGGTCAGTTTAGATGAGCTATTACCAGCAGGAGAGTGAGTTTGTGTGTGTATGGGGGTGGGGGAAGTGAGAAAACCTGGATCTATGCAGGAAATAGCCCGACTTGATTATGTAAAGAGTTGTCACTTTGGATGGGCTAGCACCAGCAGGAGAGTGAATTTGTGTGGGGGTGGAGGGTGAGAGAACCTGGTTTGTGCTGGAAATGGCCCACCTGTTGGTCACTTTAGATAAGCTATTACCAGCAGGACAGTGGGGTGGGAGGAGGTATTGTTTCATATTCTCTGTGTGTATATAAAGTCTGCTGCAGTTTCCACGGTACACATCTGATGAAGTGAGCTGTGGCTCACGAAAGCTCATGCTCAAATAAATTGGTTAGTCTCTAAGGTGCCACAAGTACTCCTTTTCTTCTTAATGAATTAGCCTCTTACAGTTTGTATGGCAAATTCCACCTTCTGTGTGTGTGTGTGTGTGTGTGTGTATATATACTTACTATATGTTCCATTCTATGCATCGATGAAGTGGGCTGTAGCCCATGAAAGCTTATGCTCTAATAAATTTGTTAGTCTCTAAGGTGCCACAAGTACTCCTGTTCTTTATTTAAAAAAAAGTTTGTCATCTTTCTGCTATGTGCAGTATGTAAACCACCTGAGCATTTAGGAGTGGGAAAATGAACAATTAAGGGAGCTGATATGGGGTGGGGGGCTGCTGACCTATTACTGTGGCTCTTTGGCAATGTACACTGGTAAATTCTGCCTCCTTCTCAGGTTCAGGTTGGCTACTCCTGAGCTAAGGGATTGTTTCCCTCTTCATATTGTACCCAGCAGTAGAAATAATTTGGGATGGTCAAACTGATAGCTCCAAGCTATTTGTCTGTTGGCTGCTGGCAAAGTGTTTTCAGTGGAGGGGCCTCCATTCTGGAACTTAACATCCTCTCCTCCAAACCTTGAAGCAACAGAGCTTGAGGCTGGAGATTTTCAGAGCAGTTTCCAAAACTGATGAATTTATTCAAGATTTCTTGGTTGTGAGTGGAGTGGGGGAGAATGAACTGAAAAAGGACTTAGCTTGGAATATTGTTGCTATTAAACCATTTTATAATGTCTATAGACTTTAAATAACTGTGTTGCATGCAGGTAGAGCATTGAATCAACTTTTCTTTAAAAATCTAAATAAAATCAATTGCATATGAAGCTGCTGTACTAGTACCACTGTGTGGCAAACATCACTAACAAAAGCATTAGTGATGGGCCAAGGAAAATATGGAACCCTCCTCTTCCTTTCTAGACTGAGGGAGAAATAGCCATGTTGTTCTTCCCCCACAAATGCCCCAAAAACCCAGGAAGACCACTGGGTAGCTGCAGAAGTGAGGGGTGGGGGGAAGTTCCTAGATGAGAAACAAGTCTAGGAGCCTGATGAGAGCAAATGGGAGGCTAGTTCTGGGGTATCTGGTGTGTGGAAATTCCTGTGGAGCTCTGAGTTTGCAAATTTGAACTGCTCAGTGAACTGGAAGGTGTTAGTTCATGGCAAAGTCTTTGAAACTGGAGAGCAGTAAATGGACACAGTTATTAATTAAACCCTCTACAGTTAACACAGCCTTGTTCTTTGCAATTATAGGTCCTCTTTTAAATGTGAAATAGAAGTATAATGAATACTCACATCAGCATGTTCATGGAATGGGTTAAGGCCAAGTCCCTTCCAGTAAGTGACTGTGTCAAACTCAATCTTGTACAACCCTGTTACAAATTGTTTCTCGGTTGTAAGCTCGTGGATCTCGCCATATTCATTGGTTTTTCTGCATGAGAGCAAGATAGTATATATTTATTTTTGTGTTCAGATGTCTGAAAGAAAGAAGCAATATGTAGCACTGAACTACAATGACATTCTGTAGCCAGACATCTGGGAAAATGCTGACTGGTCATCTGAAATAACTTGTTCCTTTCTGTACTGTGGAGGCCTCACAAAGTCTGTCCTTGCATCTAGATCTCCCATGCATACCACAAAGTATGTCTGGGCTGTAGAAGCTTCTTTATTGTTACTGCCGCAAAGATTGGAGGTAAGCCAAAAGAAACCTGGCATGGGTGTTTGCTGTCTTCTGATAAGGCTGTCAGGCTGAGTCCAGAGTTGTTTAAATGTTACTTCAGAGCCAGCAGGGGGCACACAAGAAAAACTCACCGGTGGCCGAAGAGTGCATAACTCCCATGATGTTTTAATAAACTTAAACTAGTGGTTATTTACCCTATTATTTATTAATACTTCACATAAGGTTGTTCCTAATTTTGTCTTTTTAGGAGAGTACTTTGTTCTGGTTTATTTACAAGAATTATTTGAATTACACTGAGGTTGCCATAGGTTTGACCAAGAGTATAGTCTTGTGAAATCTTTTTAGTCCATTGAGTTGTCTGACCTTCACAAGCAGATAGGTTTGTTTAAATTAGTCTATCAGGCCATTAGTAATGTCTAGAAACTGCAGAGCTTTAAGTGCTAGCTGATGTGGAGTCTGTATTGAATTTTGTCTCCTGGCTTAACGTAGCTCCTCTTAAAAACACTCTATTTCCACTTAATCAGTCCTATAGTGTGGGAATTAGTGATCCGATGTTGGTGGATAGTATGACACTCGTATTTTATATTCGTGTTTCACTAATCTCCATCCATTGTTTAAAGTTCTGAATGCTGAGACTCAGTCTGTAAATGTCTCTGTTGCATTTCTTCATTTCAATAAAAGGTAAATGCTAATCAGTACATCAACTGACACATTCATTTGTTTTAGTATAAGACAAGGAAATTCAGCACTTAATGATAAACCATCTAGGAACCTGTTAAATCACAGATGCCATATGCTTTCAAGCCCGTTCTTAGAATTTTTCCTGACTGATAGAAAAAGTAGACAAACATTTTATTCTCCTACATTGATCACTTTCAAGCAACTCCCCATTTACTTTACAGACTTTCTCAACTATACCCTGATAACTCTTTTAGCTAAAAGTACAGTGATGGGCTCAAGTGGGCTTCTGAGAATCCAATTGTTAAAATTCCACTACCACAGAAGTAATTTCTCTGTCTCTAATGAAGTTCAACTACTTACTGGGCTCTGCATTATCATCTCTGCCAAATAGACGGAATAAAAATACCACTGCATGTTCTTTGCATCAGATCTCAGGTTTTTTTAAATACCCTCAGAAACTGATCCTAGAGCATCCAACTCTCCCTCCCCCCCCTCGCACATACACCCACACAATGTTTGCACACACACCTGCCCACACATCTCAGTGCACTGTATTGTGTACACTACTAGTATAGTCAATATGTTTTTTAGGAATAAGTATACATACCTCAAGTGGCAGCATATGCTTTCAGCTGTTTACCATGTGCTCTTGCTTCCTTCTTTGGGTATGATGGCACATTTTGGTTTAAATGGGAAATCATAGGGCTGGATTTTCCATTCCCTTACCCCTACTCGATGTGATCCTATGCAGCCCTGGGCCATTGGGTTTGTCAGAGACTAACTCTTTAAACAATGTATTGGCACCTTTGTTCTAATACTTGGAGCACCACCACTATAAGAATTACTTTGTGTAGTAATGTTGGAGAACTTGCATACATTTATGTTCTAGGCTCTTTACTGGTCTGAAGCTGGGATCCCATTAGTGGTGGATTCCTGCAGTGTGACGACTTTCACTATCCACTTTCTGAAATGATCCAGACTATTGTAGATTACTTGACAGAGGATAATGGTTTCCCTAGACTTTCTCCTGGAAGTTGCTAGACTACCGATATCTTGAAACAATATATTTATGCTCCAGTGCAGCCAGAATTCTTAACTAGAGTTTTCAACTTCATACAGATTAGAAGTCTCTTCTGACTATACTGTATTATATTATGTAGAAATTGGTGGGCTTTCATTCTCTGCTAAAGCAGAGGTGGACTTCATGCTAAGAATTGATGTGCTTCTTGTAGCCATAAAGTGAAGTGTCATGAAGAGGGAAGAGTCAAACAGCAATTGATGGAAGAATAGTTTTCTATACCACATTTCATGCTGCCTGTGAGTTATCTCCCTTGTGTTTACAATTTTTTCAAACCATTCAGGAGCCAGTCTGCTAGCTTTGCAGCTATAATTTACTTAGAAGAGACCCCCACACAGAGTAAATATTTGGTGTAGGCATAAATTATCTTATTACTTCTCAGATTGTAACTAATGACATTATACATATGTTTTTAAGATGAATGCATGTAAAATGTGGGTTTTCTAATCTTTGGCCTCTTTCAATGCCTCCCTCACCCCCTTCTCATTGTATTATATGACTTACCCTGAACTTAAGAGCTGCCAGGTCCCATCATCAGCCTTTTTATATAATTTAATAGGTACACTGGAAGCTGGACTTCCTCTGACTGAATCTAGAATTTTCACAATAAGAGGGTGCTTGGAATCATGAGAGCCCTGCATATAGGGAAAAGAGAGATGTAATTCTTGTATGACAGATTATATAGGAGTGATGGGCCATGATAAAGCATGCCCCTTAGAAATTTCATTTTTTAGAATTAGAAGATATCACATATTTTCATATACCAGGTACATAAGTTTACTGTATAATACGAAAATTTTGCCTGCAGGATCACAGGGAGAGAGCATATGCTGTACCCTACAAAGGAGTGCACTCCTCATGTGCACTGCGAACCTGTCCTCAGAGATGGAATGCCTCTCAGCACTCCCTCTGGGGTGATGCAGTTCTGACTAGCATCCAGTGCAGAGTTATTGCTAACTGGCACAACCAAGCCACAGATGACCGAATAAAAGTTTAATCCTGGAAACGGGGAGTGGTGATGGTTTGGAATCCAGCAATCTGATCTCCTTGTTTTAGTGTGGGGGCTGGAGGAGAGCTCTCTTGGTCAGGAGGGGCTTCCCGGTGGTCACATTATCCCATTCCTCCCTTCGTTCAACTGTCAGCTTGGCAAGCCGTGCACATGTGCTCTGTCTTGCTATCATAACCCCATTATGGGCCAGACTGTGGTCAGCCCTTGGGCAAGTGTGCACAGGTATAAGGTATAAGTAAGGTATAAGTAGCTTCCCCTGCACAAACCCTACAACAATTATATTCCATGTGCTCGTTAGATCAGTGACTGCTTCCTCCCCGAGAAGCCAGCAACCCCAAAGGGAATGAGGATACAACAAGACCGTGCTCGTCTCATAACCCCTTAAGTGTAAAAAAACCCTTAGAACTCTATGGTAGCTGCTGGTTAGTGATAACTACCGAGTCTGCTTAACCATTATTGGTTTCAAAAATGAGGTTTCAGTTTCTGATTTTTTTTATTCAAAAAAAGGTTCTTATTCAAAAATTGTAATAACATAAACTGTGTGACCCCTTCCCTCACCTGTTATCCCTTCTGGGGACCTATGACAATCTACCTCACCTCTGGAGATGCTGCCACATAGCCTGAGAAAAACTCATCTATGAAACTAACAAACCGGAATAAACTCGGTGGCCCTGATTGACTTTCTCACTCCTTTCCCACTCTTCCCCACCGATTTCTAGGATGAAGAACCTCCTGCCTGCTGAGGTTTCTGATGTCATCAGTGGGGCAGATTGTAGCAGGAGTTGTCAACTTCTGTGGATAAAGGAGTTTCTTAGCCACCACCTCAGAAGCTTTGTCAGGGTTTGGAGGACAGGAATTAAAAACATATGGCCTAGCTTCCCCAAACATCAGAAGTGGCCCTGTGGAGCAGAGTGGGAGTACAAGGGCAATGCTGCTGGGGGAGATCAACAGGCTACACAGTGTGTGGATCTCCAACATTTTTCAGAGCCACATGAGTGCCACCAGAAGTGAGAAGAGGGGAAGTGGGGCCCTAGACTTGGTCCCAGGCCTCTTTCCGAGCAGGAGATATGGCAATCCTCTCCAACTACAGAATGGTGATGGGGAGACCTGGAGCAATAAAGGAAGAGTGGGTAGAGAAGAGACAAAGCACCACTTCATTTCCCTTCTCTCCTGAGGTTGGAGCAAGAGCCACTACAGAAGGAATTTGCCGGTGAGTCAGTAGGCAGCAGTTGGCAGGCCTTCTGGGAGGTGAATTCTCATGCCATATGTCCACCCAACCAGTACTGCCCATTGAGATGATGATCAGCTGATGATGGCTTTGATGTCTTGTGAGGGGAGGAGTTGCTTCTCCACAGCCTCCCACGGCTGAAACCATATTTGGGAGAGAAGGTCCTTTTTAGTGGCTGTTGAAATTATCCTGATAGCAGGTGCTACCTCCTATTACAGCCTATCTACTGCTTTCATCAACATAAATAACTACAGCAAAGGGGGAAGCACTTTTTTTGTAGAAATAAGAAAAGCGGTAGGAGAGTGCAGGGTCAACGCACAATATACAATTAAAATAAATGTAATAAAATAGGCTGATTTGTCTTTAACTTATTCCAATTCTCATCATTTAAAAAAAGAAAAAATGAGGTAGGTTACATGGATCACACATGAAAGGCCACCTCAATACCAAAACACTTACCAGTGGTGCGGCTTCAGAGAAAACCACCAGTCCAGCTAAGAAAACAAGGAGCAAAGAACGAAAGGCCATTCTGCCGGCAGTCTGAGAGTCTCGGTGTCAGCAATTAGAAACTGATGGGATTGGGGATTTTTATACCCAATCCCCTCAAATTAGGCTGCTTATCAAGTGCTGTATGACTTCAAAGCTGCTGATTCTGATTGTTTACTTAGTAAATAGTAAGAGAATAAGTAACCCACACAAACATGAACTTTGCCTGTGGAGATTAGTCTGCTGCATTATCTTCTGTAAAATAACTTGGATCACATTTTGCATCGCTGATCCACTGATTACAATTACTTTATTGTAAATGGCCTATTCCCCTCCATGTTTCATGTTCTGTTTTACGTTGTGTTTGAATATGTGCTGTACTGTATGTGGTCTTGACAATGTGTGAGAAAGTAGATTTTCCTTCTCTCTTGCACAATAATATCCTTTTCATTTTCAGTATGGATTTCATTCTTGTCATAGCATGGAAAATACTCTCATCCATAGAATCAGCAACCTCTGAGTTTATCTGATGAAAACTGTCACCCTTCTCATTCTTTGTTGAAAGCAGTACTGAAGTCAAGGTGGACCACTCCATCTTCTTAGACTGCCTCTCCAGACTTGTGCAGCAGTGTCTGACCACCTCCTGTGATGTTTCCACTTTGCCTGTCTCTCATCCATGCAAATGGCTTTTGGCCATCTAACTACCTGTTTTCAGGGTACAGTCAAATTGTGATCTAAATACTGTCATTTATTCCTGCAGTAAATTTATGGGCAAAATTAATTGCACGTGGAAAGGTGCCCTATAGAATTGGAAGTTATTTCTTTTAATTTGGCACTTTATCTTGTAACCTTAAGTGTGTCTCTACGCTTGTGATCAACTGGATTCTTTTTTTAAAAGAGCCGTTGACATCTCTTCATAGGAGGCTTTATGTAAGCTCTACCTACTCCCCCAGCACCACCTAACCTCCCAACCATGCCACCAGTAAACATCAACCACCCAAGCCATCTAGCACCCACACTGGGTGGGAAAACAGCCAACAGCTCCCCCTGAGGAGAATCTAACACTCCCCCCCCCCCCCCCCCCCAGCATCACCCTACACCTCATCGGTTCCCAGCATCACAACAGCCGTGGTTTCTTGCTTTGACTGCCAACAGATTGTGGGATGTGGCCACAAAGGATTGTGGGACTGGGATCAGGACAAGAACATGTGATGAGTTTGAGAGTCCTAGATGGACAATTTTTTTTAAGAGGCTGTGCTCCATACAGTGCCCTGAAATAAGGACTTGGTTTTTGTGATCTTTATTTTTAACACATGTATTCAGTCGTCAATTGTATTAAACCTAGAGCTGGGTGGATAACTGAATGTGGTTAGGTAAGCATATTTTGTTGTCTGTATGCAGTTATGTTTATTATTACAAATAAATATATAGTTATTGGGTGTAGCCATAGCAAGTGCAAACATACTGTTTTTCAAACTCCAGTGCGATACCTTTGAAACATATTCCATTGAAACCGCACCAAATTAAAATATTTGACTTATGTTTATAAGAGTTGTGTAACAAGGGCAGAGTCGAGAAATCAGGGAAATCCAAACAGTTAATTGTTGCTGCAGTACTTATGTAATTTATTAATTCACTTGGTATCCATTCTTCTGAACAAGCTCCCAATTTAAAGAATTTAAATTACAAGCTCACTAACAAATGAGCACTGATTTATTTTTGAGAGGTACAATTGTATTAGCTGCCCATAGAGTCGCTGCAATCCCACTAGAACAAAACATATTCAGTCCAACAGACTAATCCACCAGTCTAGACAAATGATTGCCCTCCTTTCTCCTCCTCTTCCCCCCCCCCCCCCAAAAACACAATTTCTCCATGACTTCAACTGAATCACACACAATCAGCCTGCATCTTAACCAATGCTGACTTTAGAAGATTTCTTGTGAGTTGTTATGCAGATAACTTTGTTAAAAGGTCATGCTTCTGTCTTAGCACTTCCCCTTAAAGCTCAGGGGGAAAACAGATAGTACTTGATCTATATAGGGATTTGGTGTTGTGACTGATAGTGAAATTCTGCAGTCTTTTTCCATATGAGGTCTGGATTGAACTAACATGAAGTTTCATAGAACTCCAGCTAGAAATCTTCAGAAGATCAAGTTTGGACATAAGATCACTGTGCCATTAAAAGGGACCAACTGGAGTACTGTCTTGTTTCAAATAGGGACAACCCTTCTTTCACTGTATCTACTTCCACCTGAATTTGGCAAGTACAGAGATGTTTGAGAAGATTTACAAATGGCATACGTTAACTGAATTCTGTAAAATGTTTGTATGCGTTTAGCATTTTGAACAAAAGTTCATGATAATGAACTTGACAACAAAGTAAAAGAAACAGTGAGAGACAAAAAGTATCCCTTAAAAAGTGAAGTTAAATCCTAGTGAGGAAAATACAAAGGAGCATAAACTCTGGCAAATGAAATGTTAAAATATAATAAGGCCAAAAAAAAATTTGAAGAACAGCTAGCCAAAGACTCAAAAAGTAATAGCAAATATTTTTAAGTACATCAGAAGCAGGAAGCCTGCTAAACAACGAGTGAGGCCACTGGACGATCGAGATGCTAAAGGAGCACTCAAAGACGATAAGGCCATTGCGGAGAAACTAAATGAATTCTTTGCATCGGTCTTCACAGCTGAGGATGTGAGGAAGATTCCCAAACCTGAGCCATTCTTTTTAGGTGACAAATCTGAGGAACTGTCCAAAATTGAGGTGTCATTAGAGGAGGTTTTGGAGCAAATTGATAAACTTAAACAGAAATAAGTCACCAGGACCAGATGGTATTCACCCAAGAGTTCTGAAGGAACTCAAATGTGAAATGGCAGAACTACTAACTGTAGTTTGTAACCTATCATTTAAATCCGCTTCCGTACCAAATGACTGGAGGATAGCTATGTGACGCCAATTTTTAAAAAGGGCACCAGAGGTGATCGTGGCAATTACAGGCCAGTAAGCCTGACCTCAGTACCGGGCAATCTGGTTGAAACTATAGTAAAGAACAAAATTGTCAGACACATAGATGAACATAATTTGTTGAAGTAGAGTCAACATGGTTTTTGTAGTGGGAAATCAGGCCTCACCAATCTACAAGAATTCTTTGAGATGTTCAACAAGCATGTGGACCGGGGGATCCAGTGGATATTGTGTACTTTGCTTTTCAGAAAGTCTTTGACAAGGTCCCTCATCAAAGGCTCTTAAGCAAAGTAAGCTGTCATGGGATGAGAGGGAAGGTCCTCTCATGAATTGGTAACTGGTGAAAGGATAGGAAACAAAGGGTAAGAATAAATGGTCAGTTTTCAGAATGGAGAGCAGTAAATAGTGGTGTCCGCCAGGGGTCTGAACTGGGACCAGTCCTATTCAATATATTCACACATTATCTTGAAAAAGGGGTAAACAGTGAAGTGGCAAAATTTGCAGATGTTAGAAAACTACTCAAGATAGTAAAATCCCAAGCAGAATGCACAGAGCTACAAGGGGAATCTCACAAAACTGGGTGGCTGGGTAACAAAATGGCAGATGCAGTACAATGTTGATAAATGCAAAGTAATGCACATTGGAAAACATAATCCCAACTATACATATAAAATGATGGGGGTCTAAATTAGCCATTACCACTCAAGAAAGAGATATTAGTCATTGTGCATAGTTCTCTGAAAACATCCACTCAAGGTGCAGTGGCAGTCAAAAAAGTGAACAGAATGCTGGGAATCATTAAGAAAGGGATAGATATTATCATATTGCCTCTATATAAATCCATGGTAAGTCCACATCCTGAATACTGCATGCAGATATGGTCGCCCCATCTCAAAAATATATATATTGGAATTGGAAAAGGTTCAGAAAAGGGCAACAAAAATTACTAGGGGTATGCAATGGGTTCCGCATGAGGAGAGATCAATAAGACTGGGACTTTTCAGCTTGGAAAAGAGATGACTAAGGTGGGATATGATAGAGGTCTATAAAGTCGTGACTTGTGTGGAGAAAGTAAATAAGGATGTGTTATTTACTCTTCATAACACAGGAACTAGGGGTCACCAAATGAAATTAATAGGCAGCAGGTTTAAAACAAACAAAAGGAAGTGTTTTTTCTCACAAAACGCACAATCAACCTGTGGAACTCCTTGCCAGAGGATGTTGTGAAGGCCAAGACTATAACAAGGTTCAAAAAAGAACTAGATAAATTCATGGAGGATAGGTCTGTCAGGAAGAAGTTAAAATGTAGCCAGCAGAAAAGACAGAAACTGCTCAAAAGCAAGGACATAGTTTCTGTCAATACCTGATAACTTAGTTCAGCTTATCAGTAAGAAAGAATAATGCTAACCCTCCCTTCACAACCCACTGGATGTCTGTAAGCACTCATCCCTCCCCCAACCTGCAGCCCGTCTCCTTCCCCTGCAAGGTAGCCATAAATGTTTGATGCAAGTAGGATGACCTCTATATGCACATACTGTTCTTATTTTTATCTTTGTTCAGGGTTGTAACAATGTCTGTCTCTATATGTACAGATAAATGTAAATGAATTGATAAGAGAATGTATATAACTGGCCACTATGGCACCATATTTTTGAAGCTGCTTGTCAGTCTTCCCGGTAGCGTGAATAAACCCCCTTCAGTATTGTCTGTGCTTGCCTGATTCTTGGAGAAAAGAATCTTTTTGCCTAAGAGTTCCATCAATGGCTATTAGCCAGAATGGGCAGGGATGGTGTCCCTAGCCTCTGTTTGTCAGAAGCTGGGAATGGGTGACAGGGGATGGGTCACTTGATGATTACCTGTTCTGTTCATTCCCTTGGGGCACCTGGCATTGGCCACTGCCAGAAAACAGGATACTGGGCTAGATGGACCTTTGATCTGACCCAGTATGGCCGTTCTTATGTTCTTCTAAAAACCATCACTCTGTTCAATTTGCTTGTATGCTGTATCCCCTTACGTGTCATCATCTCTTTTTTGTTGAGATTATAAGCGCTTTAATGCTGTGATTGTCTTTTCTGTGTTTGTATAACACTTAGCACAGTGGGGCCCCACAGTTGTCAGTTGGTCCCATGTCATTGCCATGATACAAATAATAAATAAATATGACTATTATTTCATTAGAATTAGTTCAGCTATCTCTGGGATTTAAGCATGT